TGATGCTCCTGACCGGGATCTCCTGCAAGAGGATTCGGGCCAAGCGCTCGTACTTCATGACCCGCTCAAAGAAGAAGTTCACTTTCAGGTTGGTGGCGTGCCTGGCCAGTTTGGCCCAGGACATGCCCCAGATGACCTGCCCATGGGGGTCATGAATGTGGCATTTGATGTTTATGGTCCAGAGGGTACTGGCATTGTTCTCACACAAGTTCTCAAGCAGCTCATCGGAGATGCAGTTGTAGTTCAGGGTCAGGGACTCCAGGTTGCGGAACATGGCCATGGTCTTGTTGAACTGGGGGCTGCTGTAGACAGCGAGGTGATGGCTGAAGAAGTCCTCGATGTTGAGTTCCGACGCCATACTCTCATTCCTTAAGTAGCTCAGGGAGTTGAGGACGTGGCAGCCTTGGTCTACAGTCAGCCGAGTACCCTTCAGGTTGAGATAGTCCAGGTGTTTGCCCATCTTCTTTAAGAAGAAGCTCAGACTTTTGATGAACGAGCTCCTGATGCTGTTCCTCCAGACCAGGCGGTCCAGCTCCAGGTGCTGAATGGAAAGGGATTTCAGGCGGTTGTTACTCTTGCCCAGACTCGAGAGAAGGCCTCGCATAGTGACCTGGAACTTCTTGGTCAAGACAGCATTGTAAGGATTCAGGAATTTGATCTCCAGGTGCTCCAGATAACGACCAAATTTCTTAACATACCAAAGAGCTGACTCAAATTCAGACGCGTGTACCCTGGAAGGTCTCCCACTGAACGTGATGGTCCTGTATCGCCAGAGGTCAGCCGAATACATCATCTGGTTCCACTTCCTGCAGACAAGGGCTGCCCTGGACCTGTCCCTATCTCCCAGCCACCAGAAAACACGTTGTAGGCACACATCGGGCAGAGTGGCCCAGCAGCTCTGGTCTTGGGGCTGCGTCAGTTGGCTTTCTTCGTCCATCAAAGAACTGGGATGTCCAGTGCAGCTGTGTGAGAGGCAGGGCTTCCAAAAGTGAGGAAAGAAAAGCAATCACCCGTTTTCTGTGGGGAGTAAAAAGCAAGAGCCATTACCTGCCAAATAGAAATTAAACCCAATTGAACGAATTCGCACTGTGGACTGACACACACTAGGTGCTGTGCTGATGCAGGTGGTGAAATAATAAATTCACCATACAGGCCACACCTGCAAAGAGTCACAGTCCTTTAGGGGGTCTATCAGGGATGCAGACCACCACTTGTTGACAGCAGGGTGGGAGAAGTGAGAAGTTCAGGCATATTCATGGGGCAGGGTAGCACAAACAGGGAGTGATTAATTCTGTCTGGGTGCAGAGGGAGTAGGGAGGGCTGCTCAGAGGAGGTGATGCCTGAGCTGGGTTTTGCAGGGTGAGGAGGATTCGCAAGGCAGACTGGGTTGGCCTAGTGGTAGTGGTGGAAGAACTGGCATTTCCCAGGCAAAGGGAACAATATGTGTAAAGCCACAGAACTGTGGATGTGCACAGTATGTTTAAATGCAGGGACCTACAAATTGTATGGGGGTTCACTTGTAAAGGGAGGGGAGTGATGGAACTGGAGCTGGAGCAGCGGCAAGTCCTAGATGAAGGGACCCTGAACACTGTGATACAGGCTGCATCCCAGCAGCCAGGGGGTCCCATTGTCCTCTTTCCCCAAGACTTTGGAACGCTGACATGGCCCCCTTTTCCAGATGAGAATCACGGTGTTGAGCTACATTGCTGATGTCTGTGTTGACATTCAACAGGTATAGCACCAGAACACGGTGGAGAACCTCCACTGAGGTCACATGGGGCCGTGGAAGGTCAAAGGGTCGCAGAAGTGATGTGGTCAGTGTTGTGGCTTAGGAAGGACCCTCAGGGAGTGGAACAAGGATGGTTTTGAGGAGGGTTCAGGCTCAGCCTGGGACTAGGGTGGTGCCACAGTGGGAATGGGGTGGGTTGTGAGTTTGGCGGACACGATGTGGTAACTGGGGAACACAGAAGTGGGTAGGACAGGAAGTGTCTGACTGAGCTTCAGGATGGCAGGTAGTGCCCCAGCCAGGCTGCGAGCCCCAGGGGGAAGCCGGGCTAAGGCCTGCCCGGAATGTCTACTGAGCCCTCAGACTCTTTACAGTCATGTGCGGAAATCTTCACGACTTTTTGCTTTTTCAGTGTTTCTCCTGCCTGAAAACAGCCCTCATTTTCCTTAATTCTCCAAAATCTTGTATTCTTCAAGCTTTAAGACCTACTACTCCATAAAGCTTTTATTGGTTATTCTACCAAGTGGCCCAAGGTAATTGATAGTGGCTCATAAAAACTCAGAGCTGAAAGAGATCGGATCATTGATTTCTTTACGGAGGGAAACCGAGACTCTGAGAGGCCAAGGGGCTTGCCTGAGGTCACACAGCAAGTCAGTGACAGGGCGCAGTTCGGAGGCCGGCCTTTCTGACTCTGCGTCCTATACTTTTCCCCACTGCCGCGAGTGGTAAGCCTCAGGTGCTGCAGGACAAATTAGTTATATTTCTCAATTCAGGACAGACATTTGTCTACCCAAGACCCCTCTTTGGCTTTATTGATTGATTCTTTCCCTTTTAGCCATATCCCACTCCACTGCCCCTCTCTTCAGGCAGCTTCACCAAGGCGTCTGACATGCATTTTTTCGTCTGTGTGTGTGGTCGCCAGATGTGTATTTAACGTTTGTAAACATCATTCATATCAGTCTGCATGCACCTCGCCCACTACTCCATCGTCATCTGAACAGAAGCCATTGGAGGTGGTGTCCGTCTGTCTTCTGCACACATCCCCGCCAGCACCACAGTGGCAATGGGCGGCATCAGTGAGCGCCTGCGGAGGACTTCTCCTGTGCCTTTGTCCTCGGCACCCGCCATCACCTACGGAACGAGTGGGGCCCTGCCTCTGGGTGTCCTCCTGTGTCCGGATCCAGGCAGACTTCCACAGGGGACCTGGCAGCAGTCTGGTCCCGCCCAGGGCAGAGGGTTCCGGTGGGTTCCCAGAGCCGCCGCCTCTGTCCTCAGCCTGCCCGCTCTCTTTCCCCTTGAGCCACTGTCCATCCCTCGGTGGACCTCTGTCCAAGCCTTCCTCTCCCACAGGGCCCACTCAGTCCTTGGGACCAGGGGCAGACTCATTCTTTTTTTGAGTAGGTGCTTCAACATGTGACGAATGCAGGAACAGGGCTGCCCCTTCCATCACGTACAGACTGCCCGGGGCCAGGAGCCTCTGCAGCCCTCAGCCCGGAGTAAGGCACCTAGAAGGTGTTCAAGGGAAGCTAAACCCAGCTCCAAGGCTGAATGGAAACCCTTTGCCCCAGCAAAGTCTCTTGTCGGACGAATTGCTGGACGCTCTGGAGGGACGTGTGGTGGGCGGGGGAAGCTGTCGCCAGGGGCCCAAAAGTCCTGCGTAATTGCTGGGACCACCTTCCCCTCCCCTAAGGCTCCGCACCAATGCAGGGCAGGGCAGCTTCCCGGGGTGGATCCCGGTTCTGGCGGTCGCTACGGGGGACCTTAGGCAAATTGATTTCTTTGTGCCCCAGTCTCCACTTACATGAGCAGCAGTAATAACAATCCTTTTCTCCCAGTGTGGAAAAGGTTAAATAAGCTGGTACACAGAAAACACCAGAACTGCACCTGGCACAAGGTAAATGCCGTACAAGTGTAAGTCCGGCGCCAAGACTTGGTCAACGCCCCCGAATGGAAGGTGTGAACGGGCCCATTTTACAAATGGGGAAACAGAGGTGCTAGAGGGCTAAGAAAGGCTCCCGGGCCGATGGGACAGTGAGTGGGGAGGTGGGATTAGAACCCGGACTCTCAAACCCAGGCCGGCTCCACCTTACCCCAGGGCTGCACACCTGAGAGGAAACCTGAGGGTGTCCATCATCCCTGGAGAGGGGAGGGGACAGGGAAGCTTCCAGGAGGAGGCCACTGAGGAGGGTGGCCCGCCCCTCCCCGCGCGAGCCTGGGGTGTCCCCTGTTATCCCCACCTTCACCGGCCCACCTTTTACCGGCTCGCCAGCGGGCTGCGCCCCGCTGGGGCTGCAGGAAACCGCGCACACGCCTGCCTGGTCGCCAGGTGCCAACTCGGCGACCTCCCGGGCCGCACCCAGACCTCACGGACGCTGGATGCCTAGGTGCCGGCCGCCTTTGTGACGCGCGGCGCCCGCGGGGCTCTGCTCATCGGTACTGGTCGCAGGGGCCCAGACCTGCGGTGGCCGGGTCACCGGCGCGGGCGCAGAGAAAGCTAGACCGGTCCTCGCGCAGAAGGCCCAGGAAGGCACCAGGCTGGGGGCGCTGGTGACGACGGGCATGTCCCCTGCCCTTCCCTCTTCTGGCAAGAAACAGGTTCTGCCCCGAGTTTGGAGCTCGGCCTGCCTCCTTTCTTGACCCGACCCAGGCCCTGGGTACTGTCGGTCCCGAGGGATCCAGCTTAGGCATCTTTTTTTCCCCCCAGAATCCATTGCCACGTTCTCCTGGCTCTTGACCTCATGGTTTACACTTTCCTCAGATAGAGCCCCCCAAGGAAAGTCAGAAGCAAACCTGACCCACCTAACGTGACAAAGCTTGAGAACTGCTCCACCTTTCCAGGTGGGGGAGGAGAGAGAGCAGGCAACCCGCCCACTTTCCGTGGCCCTTCCCTTCCAGGCAGGGACTGGTGCTCTAACGGGTGGCCCCAAAGACCAAGCAGAAGTGCAGGGGCACAGTGTCTGCCGGCTGCATCTCTACGTTCCCCCAACCACTCTCCCCACCAACAGCCTTAAAGGCACTTCACCCGTGAGCCAGGAGGGGCCCGATGGGAGCCTGGGATAATGTTTCATAGATGCCCCTCATGATCAGAAGAGTGCACAGACCTGTTAGAGAACACCCACAGCAGGCAGGGACTCTCAGGCAGCCTTGGCCCAGGCCTCCCTTCTCTGGCTCCCTCCCCTGGGCACTGCCTGGCCCCGCTGCCCTGGATGCTGCCGGCCCATGCCCCGCAACACCAGTGCAGAGTCCAAAGGAAGGTGGCCAGGAAGCTGTCAGGGAGTGCGTTTTTATTTTTCAGGAAATTAGATCTATATCTATATTCTACATGTATCTATCTAATCTACATCTATATCTATATCTACATTTATATCCATATCTATCTATACCAATATCCATATATATATATATAATCTCAAAACTCAACAGTAAACAGTCCATTTAGAAAATGTGTGAGTAGACATCTCAGATGGCAAATAAGCAAATGAAAAGATGGTCAACATCATTAGACATTAGGGACCTGCAATGGGAAATGACAGTAAGATATGCCCGCATACCTGACAGAATAGCTAAAATTAGAAAAAATGATATTGACAGCAACAACTGCTGGCCGGGCGTGTAGGGAAGCTTGAGCTCTCACACATCACTGAATGAGATGGGGTGTAAGACGGACACAGGTCGGTCCTCCAGGGCGTCCAGGCTGTGGGGTCCTGACGTGGGATCATAATTCTCGGGCAAAAGAGCTGGAGGCTTTTCTTCTCCTGGTTTGTCTCTAGCTCTTGAGTAGACCAACATCTCTGTTCAAGAGGAGGAAAGTAGTTAAAATCCAAACATTTTCTTCCATAGGAAAACACCCAAGGAATAGAACCCACCTCCTTTTGCAAGTAAAGACTACCACACAAAGTAAACGGGGAGACCAGTAAATCTTCCAAATCTGTAGTACCTTCTCTTCTCCAAATCTAGCTGAGGTTTCTCACTTGTTTTCCTTTCAATGACGCTAACCACCAGCATTTCTCCTAAAGAAATGGACATAAAGAAGTTGGATGTGTTTAAAAGTGGGAAATGTTACTTCCTGGGGTATCCAGACATGGCCAACCCTGGTTTGTGGAGCACAAACCCTGAGCCATAGGTGGCAGAGAAAAGGCATGGAACCCAGTGACTGAGGAGGGGCCTCTGGGTGGCTTGGGACAATGTTTGCTTGAGGCCTGTCATCATCGGTGGGGCAGATAGATTAGAGAACAACCACACCACGGACTCTGAGTCATTTTAAAAAAAGAGCCACATTATTGACTTGGAGGGAGGGATGTCCTTGGATGTTGCTACATAATAACATTAAGATGCAAGGAAATATATATAATTGGATTCTAAATGTGTATGTTTGCAAATGGTTATATAATATAGAATGTCCATTTAAATGTTAATTTCAGAGAAACAACTTTTTTAGTATGAGCCATGCTGTTACTTTGTAATTATTTTTGTCCCAAGTAATATATTTTTATTTGCTAAATTCAGCAACCCGATTATATGAGGATGAAGGGAAGTATGGAAAGTAACAACAAATTGTGGGGGGTGAGAGAATATGGCACAATCTCGACACACTGAAGGCCATATATGACAAACATATAGCTAACATACTCAACCAGGAAAAGCTAGAAGTGCTTCCCTTAAGATCAGGAATAAGGCAGGGATGCCCAGTTTCACCGCTCTTATTCGACATAGCACTGGAAGTCCTAGCCGTAGAAATCAGACAAGAAGAAATAAAAGGCATCCAAATTAAAAAGGAAGAAGTAAACTTGTCATTATTTGCAGATGACAGGAACTGTTTATAGAGAACCTTAGAGTAGATTCTCACAAGAAACTACTATAACATAAATTAATTCGGTAAAGCAGCAAAATACAAAATAAATATCCAAAATAAATAAATGGGTAGATACACATTACACCCCAATAATCAGAAACTATCAGAACTATCAGGAAGGGAAGCTAGGAAAATAATCCCATTTACAATTGCATTAAAAATAAAAAAGTAAAATACCTAGGAATAAACAACCAAGGAGATAAAATATTTATTCTCAGAAAATTATAAGACACTGAAGGACAATATTGGTTGTAGGTCTTTAGATTTCATGACTTGGAATACCTCTTTCCAGCCCCTTCTTGCCTGTAAGGTCTCTTTTGAGATAAGATCAAATTCAAGGAGTTCATCATCACCAAGCCCTTATTATATGAAATGTTAAAGGGACTTATCTAAGAAAAAGAAGTTAAAAAACATGAACAGTGAAAGGACAGCAAACTCACAGTTATTAACAACCGCACTTAAAACAAAAGCAAACTAAAAGGACAGCTAGATCAGGAGTGGAAACATAGAAATGAAGATCTCAAGGAAGGTTAGCAACAGGGGAGTAGGAGGAGGAGAAGGGGGGGAGAAGGTACAGAAAATAAGTAGCATAGACAGTAGACAGAAAATAGATGGGGGGCAAGAATAGTATGGGAAATATAGAATCTAAAGAACTTGAGACACATGGTCATAAACTAAAGGGGGGTAATGGTGGGGATGGGGGGTAGGGTGGAGGGGAATGAAGGGGGGAATAAAACAACTGTAATGGCACAATCAATAAAAAAATAAATAAAAAAGAAAAAATAATTAAATAAAAAAATAAATTTAAAAAAAGACACTGAAGGAAGACATTAAAGAAGATACAAATACATAAAAACATATATCAAGCTCATGTATAGAAGGAATTAATACTATTAAAATATCCACACTACCCAAAGCAATCTATAGTTTCAGCACAATTCTGTCAAAATAGCAATGGTTGTTTTCACAGAACTAGGATAAATAATCTAAAATTTATATGGAACCACAAAAGACCCTGAATAGTCATACCAATCTTGAGAAAGAAGATCAAAGTTGAAGGAATCATGCTACCTGATATCAAAGTATACTACAAGCCTATGGTAATCAAAACAGCATGGTACTAGCATAAAAACAGACACATAAATCAATGGAACAAAATAGAGAGCCCAGAAATGAACCACTCCTATATGGTCAACTAATCTATGACAAGAAGACTAGAACATATAGGGGGTAAAGACAGTCTATTCAATAACTAGTATTGGGAAAATTAGGTAAATGCAGAGAGGGAGAGGGAGGGAGAGAGAGAAAATAAACCACCTTTTTATGCCACGTAAAAAAAACCCCTGAAACTCAAAATGAATTAAAGACTTAAATGTAAATATGAGACTTGAAACCATGAAACTCCTAGAAGAAAACACAAGCAGTAAAATCTCTGGCTTTTCTCTTAGCCATATTTTTTTGTGTTATATCTCCTTGGGCAAGAGAAATGAAAGAAAGAAAGAAATGGTACTACAAAAAAACTAAAAAGTTTTTGTGCAGCAAAGGAAACCAGCAACAAAACAGACAATTTACTGAATGGGGGAAAATACTGGACAATGATACATCTGATAAGGGGTTAGTATCTAAAATTTATAAAGAACACAGACAACTCAACACCAACTCCCACACCCCCAAAAACCACAATACAAAAGGAAAAAAAAAACAGGCAGAGGATCTGAATAAACCCTTCTCCAAAGAGGACATACAGATGGCCAACAGACATGTGAAAAGATGCTCAGTCTCACCAATCAGCAGGGAAATGCAAATTAAAACCACAATGAGATACCACCTTACACCTGTCAGAGTGGCTATCATCAATAAATCAACAAATAACATGTGTTGGCGAAGGTGCAGTGAAACGGAACCCTTGGGCCCTGTCGGTGGGAATGGAGACTGGTGCAGCCACTGTGGAATACAGTGCGGAGGTTCCTGGAAAAATTAAAAATGGAACTGCCTTATGACCCAGCCATTCTACTTTGGGGTATGTTATTCAAAGCAACCCAAAACACAATTCAAAAGAGTATACGCACCACTATGTTCATTGCAGCGTTTTTTGCAAGAGCCAAGATATGGTAGCAACCCAAATGCCCATCAACAGATGAGTGGATAAAAACATGGCAGTGCCTTTATACAATGGCTATAAAAAAGGGAGGAAATATTACCATTTGCAACAGCATAGATGGGTCTAGAGGGTATTACACTAAGTGAAATAAGTCAGACAAATCGAAGACAAATACCATGTGATTTTACTTACACATGGAATCTAAAGAGCGAAATATTGAAGAGACAAAATAGAAACAGACTCATAGATACAGAGACTAGACTGTATCTGGGGGGAGGGGTTTGGGGACTGGGTAAAGAGGTGAAGGGATTAAGAAGCATAAATTAGTAGTCACAAAAATAGTCACAAAAATGTAATTACAGCATAGAGAATACAGAATATAGTCGATAGTACTGTAATAACTATTTCCGGCGCCAGAAGGGCACTTGAAATATTGGGGAGACCACTTTGTAAAGTATGTCTAACCACTCTGCTATACACCTAAAAGTAACCAATAATATTGAATGTAACCTGTGGCTGAAAAATCAGAAAAAGAGAGAGAATGTGGCACTAAAAAACATTCTCAGCAAGTGTGAAATTCACCCATCTTTGTAAAATTATATGCTTATGGGCACATATAGGTGCTTAAAGAAGTTAGAAGATAAAGATTTAGGTCTACTTTTTTGTAAGGAGTGTGCGTGATATTGAGTTAAAAAGGCAAATGGTGGTGTAATAAGGATAGGAAGATAATAAATGGGAAAAGAAATAATGCGCACCCTGCATAGGTTTGTTCAGGTGTGAGGAGCAAAGGTAAAGCTTGGGAAGCACACCCAGCAAGGCTGCTGATGTTGGGAACTCAGGGCGGGGACTTGGGGATGGTGGGGGGAGGGGGAGGATGGGCTTTGCCTGTGTATTTCTTTGTATGGTATTCTCTCATGTATTTTGAAAAACAGCAAATAATGAAAACTTTTTTTTTTAAAGTGAAACATCTAATCTGGAGCTTAAGAGCACCAGTTTAGAAACTATGAACATGTAGATCCCAGGCTGAATTCTGCCACTGTCTAATCATATAATCCTGGGGAAGCTGCCTGACCTTTCTGTCTAGTTTCTCTATTTGTAAGACTGGGGTAAAAATATCTGCCTATTATGTATAATGAGGATGAGCTGTTTGTAAAGAACTTTGCATCGTAACTGGCAGATAATGGAACCCAACAGAAAATAATCTGGGGTGTAAAACTCAGGATATGGAGGCTACAAATCCTCATTTGTTGGAGGAAAACCTCAATCTGCTGGAAGCAAGATACCAATAGATTTAGGATCTTGAGCAAGGCTTTCGTCTCCGGGCCTCCATTGCCTTATTTACACCAGGAGAGAGCTAGAGTGGATGCTCTCTGCTTCACTCAGTTACTCGGCTGTTTAAAGCATTTGTCATAGTCAGCCCCTGGGCCAGGAGCTGGAGACACAGAGATGACGGAGCTGACTCTGCCTTCCAAGGTGGCCCAGTCTCTGGGAGAACATGCAAATACACCAGGTGGGGAGTGCTAGGAAGGGTGGATCTGGGCTGTCGGTCACACAGAGAAGGAGGAGGTGGGGAAGGGCTTTCCCAGTGGCAGTGTCTGCAAACATCCTGCAGGTTCTGGGTTTCTCTAAGCCCTGTCCAGATGGTTTGCAGCCAGGTAAGGAAGGGACCGAAGCTGGTTACCTGATGTTGGTTTAGGGTCGGCAAGGGAAGTAGGATGTCACACTGGGGACATCTTCTCAGAATGTCATAAACTGCCTCATCTTCTACAGGAGACGTGATCTGGGGCCCTGTGTCACTTGGTGCTTGTTTTGTTGAAGTTTCAGAAAGAAGAGGAAATCTGTTTATATTTCTTGTCTTTGGACGAACACCTCCTTTTGCTTCAGAAGTCTGATCTTCAGGAGCCTGACTTGGGAGCGATGGAGGAGAAATCGTTGGCTCTCCAACTGGCAAATACTTTGCAGACTCTGAGACTGTGGGGCCTTTATCCTGCAAGGGTGAGTAATATATCAAATTTAAAAATGGCTTTGGCTTTAATGATTGGACAATACAACAGACTAGATAACCTGAGAACCTTCCACCATGAACACTTAGAAATGCTGGTAGAACTGGGCAAGCATTCGTTTAAGCTGATAGCTGACTTTGTGAGGAAGCAAGCAAGCTCCATGGTCCAGGAGTGAAGACCTGACCTGTCAGGTGCACCAGCTCGCGCTTTGGGAGATGTGGGGTCGGGGTCGTAAGGATGAACTTGGGCCGTATGGGAAGGAGGTAGGACAAAGGTGTTCTGGCAGCGTTTGCATGTGACGTGAGTGACCATACTCCGAAATCCATGTATTGTTTGTTAGAAGGCTAGAGACTATGAGTAATTTTAGACTTTAAGTCAGGTATTCATTACTACAGAAATGATAGAAGTAGCCTGGATAGTTGCCAAATCAGTAGAAAAGAAGAAAGAAAATGAGAAAATTTGCTCCATCCAATAGAAGGCAAGAGAAGAAAAAGAAAGCAGCAGTAATGAACATGCCATGGACGGCTCAGAGAAGGTGGCTGAAAAGAATTGTTTTAAGATTGTTGAGAATGTTAAAGGCATTGTAATTAAGTAAGAAAATAGTTATTTTAAAGATGTATATTAAAGGATGTTGGATGAAATGACAAGTTATCTTGGATTTGCTTTTAAAATACTTTTGAAAAATGGAAAAGATAAAAAAGATAGATGAAGTAGTGTTTAAAACTTTTGATTATTGGTACATCTGGGTGATGAATACATAGGGGTGTATTATATTCTCTCCCTACTTATTGGAAAATTTTGTCATACCATTAAAACATTAAAATGATAGATTCTATAGCCATCTTATTATCATTTTCAGATACGTAAAGTCTGAAGTCTAAAAAATTAGCCTCCCATGCTTTATTTCTCAAGAAACTTTTTAGGGATACCCTGTACCAAAGAAGAAGCAAAACTAGAAAGAAAAATATTGGAACGTAAAGTCTGGGGAATAGACTCTAACACTGGAGAGGGGAGGAGGAGTTCCCGGAGTGACAGCTACTCATCAGCCCCAGGAGCCGCAGGCCCCCACAGTTAAGTGAATAGAGTACTTGATGTGTTGCACTGTATTGAGGGGCAGTTTCAGATCTGGTAGGAAGTTTGAGGGGTGATTGAGTGGTAGCTAACTAGAAAGTGGCGCAACGGCAAAATTGAAGCAATGAATAACGCCAGAGAAAACAAATTGTAGGAGAAAGCAAATGCAATTATAGTCTGTGTGGCATGGTCATTTATAACACCTGTGTGGTCACAATATCATTGATTATTGCTTTAACCAGAATGGCTGGTATCAATAAATTGGGAGGATGGAGAGATAGCAGCATGAGATGGTGCTTTAGAAATATGGAGCTAAATACCAGAAGAAATAGTGAAAGAGTTAGAAAGCGGAGTATCTGTGATGTGGCAACAGTTAGCATGAAGGGGAACAGCGGGGCTAGTATTTTAACTGGGGTGATAGGAGACAACTAACATGAGCTATAATAATGAAGTAAATTAGACAATATGTAAGAAATTGACAAATGCTATGCAAAAGAAAACAGTAGAGAAAGGTAAGGGGCGTGGTAAATATGGGATGGGGGAGGGGTTACCATTTTAAATAGGTTGTTTACAAAACCTCTGAGTGAAGATGTAGAGTAGGCAGTACTATACCAGTCTGGAGTTTGGGAGAAAATTCTGGAAGGAGTTATAGATTTGGGAGTGTCTTCCTACATAAGGCATTTTTTTAAATCATAAGATTGGGTGAAATTATTGAGGCGGTGACTGCCGATAGAGAAGAATGCAGAGGCTGAACTCTCGGGCCCCTCCACGGAAGAGGTCAGGGTGCAGGAGGAGGAGAGAGTGCCGTGCTGGAAGCCGAGAGAGAGGGGACCTGGAGTGAGCTGAAGAAGAGGAAGTGATGAACTGTGGTCTCCTCGTAAACTGAGGACTGGGGATTGACTGTTGGATTTAGCCATGGGAAGGAAGGTCACTGATTTTGATAAGAGTAGGTTTTGCCAGGGGGTTGCAGGGATACAAAAGCCTGGTTAGATTGGGTGTAACTAAGGATGGGCCAAGGGAAAAAGGGGACAGTGACTACAGACAACTTTTTCAAAGGTTTTGCTGCAAAGGGGAACCGAGAAAGGGGATGGCAGTTGACAGGAAATGAGATCAAGAGAAGAATTTTTTTGTTTTTCAATTTTTGGGTCATGATCATATAAACCAAGAACCCATAAAACTACCTGGTATAAATGATTTCAGTCTCTGCTTTGCAAATTAAAAGTAAAAGAGGGAGAGAATGCTTTCCATGCAAGGTCACAGACTGCACCATCGATACAAATATTTGTCAATAGTACTCCTTTAAAAACCTTCCAGAGCAAACATCAGAACGCAGTGGAGGGAAGGTTTGAGACTGTCGTGGACAACGCGTGCATCTCATTTCACCGCCCCCCCTTGAAGGAGAGAGGGGGCGGTTGCTGGAGCTGCAAAACAACGGCCTTGTGTAGGCAAGAGGATGGCATGTTGTGCCCCAGCAGCGTCAGAGGGAATGGAGAAGGTCCCTTTGTGGTCAGCGGGCGGGAAGGCCGAGGGTGTGCATGAGGATGCTGGCGCGGAGGTACGTGGGGCGGTGAGTGGTCATGGACTTTTTCTCCTCATGAAGAGGTAGACAAATCATTATCCCCATCTTCCTCTTGGGAAAACTACACAACCAGTAAGTGGCAGAGCAGCACTAACATTCAGAGTTTCTAACCACAAGTCCAGTTCCAGGTCCAGTGAGTAAGTGTGTGGGTGTCCTAGGCTGCCAGTCTGGACAATTTGAAGGGCAGTGATCAGCCTCACTCTTGCTCTTGTGTTCACTGAGCATCTTCTGGATCACACAAATGACACGGGGTACTTCTATCATTGATTAAGCATCAGTATAAAGGAAAACCAATGCACATGAGATTTTGATGTGCTGCTAAGGCTGAGGGTCACTTGGCTGAGACACTGCTTCTCGAACTTGAAACACCAGTGATCATGTGAAACAGCCAATTCTGATCTATCATCTCTAGGGGGAGGGCCTGAGGCTCTGCATTTCTAACACGCTCCCGGGCGATGCCGATGCTGCTGGTCCACGAACCCCACTCCAGCAAGCAAGGAGCTGAGCGGGGGAAATGACCCAAGTGTCTATCGACAGACGAATGAATAAACAAAATGTAGTTTGGCCACAAAGGCCATAGAAGGAGGAAGTATGACACATGCTGCCACACAGAGGCACGTTGACAACACGTTAAGAGAAACCATGTAACACTACGTATGATGTGACTCCCTTTACAAGAACGGTCCAGAATAGGCAGATTCACAGAGACAGAAAGCAGATCGGCGGTTGCCAGGGACTGTGGATAGGAAGGAGCAGGGAGTCGCTGCTTGATGGGTACAGGGCTTCTTTCCGGGGCAGTGAAAGTGTTCTGGAGCCAGGCAAAGGTGATGGTTGCACAACACTGTGGACGTGCTAAATGGCACTAACGACGCATTTGATGTTGTGTGTATCTTACCACAATAGGCAAAAAGAGCAAGATCATCCTGGGGTTTCTTTAATTCTGACGTTTATAGTTCTCTGAGTTGAAGGGTTAAGAAAGGATATCCCTCTGCTTAAGGACAAAGAGATGAGGTTCTTGGGGTGAAGCCTTACTAAGTTTCCCCAGAGCAAATGTGCTCCATCCTGCAGAAGAGGGAAGTGGCTTGGCACAGCTAATGCACCAAGAGGTGCTTCGAGCTGCGGAGGAACGAGTCTGTGAGTGTTCCCAGGCAAAATGAGTCAGCCAATCAATCACATCATGACACCTCTGCAGAGTCCCCCTTTGGTCCCCAGCCCTGGGACCAGCTTCCTCGTGGGGAGAGGGAGAAAGCCGTTCACTTTTGTGGAGGCGCTCACAGTCTCATAGACAAGACTCCCACGAGGGACAGAAAGTTATAAGGCGGGTCCTAGTGCGGCGGTGCCCAGGCCCTGGAGGTTGAAGATGTTCAAGGTGAGCAGGGAGAGCTGGACTGGTCGGGGAGGCTCCTTGAGAGCTGGCATGAGAGGGGATCCATGATCTGTGTTAAATTAGCCTAAAGTAATTCTCAACATCCCTTTTTGAGCAAAGCAAAAGTAAAGATGAGACCCTTTAATGTCCTATGTAAATTTGGAGCCAGAATCTACCTTTTGGACTACACTTTTTGGAATACAGACAAGGTGGGAGCACCATTAGAAGATGACTAATTGCTACTCACCAGATGGTGTAAATGCTTGTTTCCTGGGGTCATTCGATTACAGTCACGACGGGAGATATTGTTTTTAGGAGCTGAAATTCTCTTCCCTGGATAAACACAGACACGACACCACAAATGAAGGCCCTTGACAATGGCTAGCCCAGCTGTCCCACAACTGCCTACATGGCCTGTAGTCACAAGTATGAACTGTCCTGGGCCTGCCTGCCCGTCCTGCACTGCCAGTGTCCTGGGCCACACCGGCAACCTCAGCCGAGTTAGCCACATTGCTCCTTTATGACCGCAGAGGCGCGCCTGTGCACACATGACCCTGACGTTGTCCCAGAACAGACCGCTATCTAAGGAGATGGAGGGAGCCGTCACCACAGGGGCCAGTTCTGAGCTCCGGGATCAGACTCTTATTGTTCATGTCTCTGCTGATTGTGCTGTGTGTTGATGAGGTTGTGTTGAAGTTGTGTTCAAGTCCAGCCAAGTGGTGTGGAGGAAATATGCACAAATCTAAAGAATCTGAAGCATTCCTTGCCCTGGCTGGTGTGGCTCAGTGGATTGAGTGCGGGCTGTGAACCAAAGGGTCATGGTTCGATTCCCAGTCAGGGCACATGCCTGGGTTGCGGGCCAGGTCCAGGTCCCCGGTGGTGGCCACGTGAGAGGCAATGACACACTGATGTTTCTCTCCCTCTCTTTCTCCCTCCCTTCCCCTCTTTCTAAAAATAAATAAATAAAATCTTAAAAAAAGAATCTGAAGCTTTCCAGATTTTTTCTTGTCAATTTTTAAATTTTTAAATTTATTATAGAGAGGGAAAGGAAGAGAGAAATCAAATTGTTGTTCCACTTAATGTGCTCATTGCTTGATTCTTGTATGTACCCTGACTGGGGATCAAACCCATGACCGCAGCGTATCGGCTCAACATTCTAACCAACTGAGCTACTTGGCCACAGCTGTCCTTTGTCAGTTTTCACCTTGAGTAGATTGTTTACCAGGAGAGATTAACTATACAAGGGATTTTAGGCTCAAACCATCTGTGACCATGTTATGAAAACAACCAGTGAAATCAACATTAGATCTGTCACACTGATGGCTTGTGTCCTCTGTTGACACACCTCATAAAGAGGTGACTGGCGTAGAGAGCGTGAAGTGGTACGGGGAGCCACCACGTAGGCCCAGGGGTCAGGAGCTCATTTCCTCTGCCCACTGCTGCTGGTGGATGAAGCTCCAGATTTGGTGTCGGGAAACTTGGGTGTCCAGCCTTATTTCTGCCTCTGGCCAGCTGCTGCCTCATTCTGGGCATGGGTTTGTCCTCTGTGAGAGGAGGCAGGTGGACCTCTGCAGGCCGGGATTGCACCAGAGGAGCTCCAAGGAAGCCTCCCGTTTTGCAGGGCCCCGTTGCCTCCGCATCCATCTGCGTGGCCTCTGCCACCTGCCTCGGGAGCTCCCCAGGCCAGTCATTTGAAGAGCACAGCAGACACACGAGGAGGCCACTCGAGTGCATGGTCTAGACCAGGGGCATCAAACTCATTTTCACTGGGGGCCACATCAGCCTCATAGTGACCTTCGAAGGGCCAAAATAATTTTAGGACTGTATAAATGTAACTACTCCTTAACTGTTAAAGGGCTGAAATTACATCAGGCTTTTTGGAGGCAACTGTGAGGCTGATGTAGCCCCCAGTGAAAATGAGTTTGACGCTCCTGGTCTGGAACTGCAGCAGCCAGGTGAATTCGAGGCCTACACATCTGTCCCACACACAGGTGGGCTCTCCTCCTGAACGCCTACATTCCTTGCATCCCACCCAGGAGAGGCTCCTCTCCTCCCAGTTCTCTTTTCTGCCCCAGCCTGCACTGCTCACCTCTCTGGGGCCGGGCCTGCTCCCTCTGGCACGAGTCTTTGTGCTGGGCCAGACCTCGGACCACGACGAACTGGCCGCAGTCCAGGCAGAGCTCAGTCCGGCTGCCACAGTGCTGCTCATGGACCTCCAGCTTGCTGAGGCGCACGGCTGCCCCGCAGAACTTGCACTCGGTGGGGCGCTCCTGGCATTCCGTGGTCTGTGGGGGGCGGGCAGGACTGGCATGGTCACTGGCCTGCAGTGACTGGACTGCAGCCCATTTGGGGACATGAGCTTATTTCCCTAGGGGATGAAAGCCAATAAGAAAGCAGGTGGGAAGGGCCAGAGTGGGGCTCCCTTCAGGGAATCTGAGTTCACCTTAGGCTCATGGACATGGCAAGCCCTTTTTTCCCCTTTTATTGATTTTGGAGAGTGGAAAGGGAGGGAGGAAGAAGGAAAGAAACATTGATGTGAGAGCAAAACACTGGTCAGCCGTCTCTCGTACACGCCCCGACCAGGGACCGAACCCGTGGCCCCGGCATTCGCCCTGAACACGAAGTGAACCCGCAGTGGTTCTGTTTGTGAGATGATGCCCAACCAGCTGCACTAGCTGCCCACTGTGGCCCAGGCCCACTCGGGTGAGGAGAGAGGTCGGGTGGAAGCGTTTATGACGGCCCTTCCTGCCCTCCCTCTCCTCCCAGGTTGGCCACTTGGTGGTAAAGGATGAGTCACACTTGCTTCTCACCTCGTGAAACTCCAGCAAGTGCTTCTGCATGCTCTGCTGGCACATCGCACACCCGACCTGAGCGGAGACAGAGAAACGCTGGCCCCACCAGCACCTGCTGCCTTCCCCGAAGTCTGCCCTGGCTGCACTGCCCTGGCCGCAGGTTTGGGTCTGTGAGCCCCTAGGGGCCAGCAGCAGGTGTGGCCACCTCAGTCCCCCTGCCCCCCCGCCGTGGCACCAGCCCTGGGCTCAAGAAGCATTTGGGGGACCCGTGGAGTTGAAGGGGACACCTGAGCTTGAGCATCTCCAGAAAGACAGTTCAGGGGCGCCAGGGGGGATTGACATGAAAGAGCAGGAAAGAAAAGTCAGCCTTCGACTGACGGTGGCCATGACTGCCTTCTAGAGCCTTCCTTTCCTGCTTCCCCTCTGCACAAAAAAGAACATTCAGCCTTTCCTGAGACAGGGAGCCCTCGCCTCGGCCACACCCGTCAGCCTGTGGGGGAGGGCTGGGGGTGGGAAAATCGGGGGTAGACTCAATTTAGTACGAGAAAGACAATTGCTCTGTCCTCTTTGCAGAGGGGCTGGCACAAGCAGGGCTGGGTGACGAGCCCGGCTGCTGCAGCCAGGACCCAGGGCGGACTCTGCCCTGGCGCCCTGCTCTGCCTGCCCCTTCTTCAGCCGCCTCACCTGCTGGTGCCCTGTCTCGCAGTGCTCGTCCATCTTCGCCTGTAGGACGGGCTCCTTACACTCCGGGCAGAGGACCAGGAACAGCACGCAGTGTGCCTCATGGAGAGCCAAGTGGGCAGAGGCCACGCTTCTTTTGCTGGGAGGTCAAGGGGGAAAAAACTCAGGCTCATTTCATGGTCTAAACCACGGCATTTTAGACCATGGGTATTTTACACCCAGGGCTGCTGGGTTAAGAAATGTTGAGGCCTCGAGCCCTTAAATTACGATGATGAGGCCACTTGTCCCTGTTGGTCCCCAAGCAGAGCAACGTAACCCACAGAATGAGTGTAGGAATGCTCTACAAAGCTCTCAACGTTGCCCAGGGGCTAGTGAGGGTGAGTGAAGAGGATCAGGAAGGATAGACCACAAAAGGGACCCAGAAAAGTGTTGGGGGTGATGGGTGGGCTCATTATCTAGGCCGGGGTGATGGTTTCATGGGTGTATAAACATGTCGAATGCATCAGAAGGTACGCTTTATTATTTTATTTGTAAAGGTATTTTTTAAGATTTTATTTATCTTTAGAGGGTAAGGGAAGAAGAGAGGGAGAGAAATATCAACATATGGTTGCCTCTTGTGGGTCCCCTGCTGGGAACAGTCCTGCAACCCAGGCATGTGCCCTGACTGGAAATCAAACTGTGATCCTTTGGTTCACAGTCCCATGCTCAATTCACTGAGCTACACCAGCCAGGGTCAAAAGGTACACTTTAAAAATGTACCATAAATGCAGCATATGTCAATTATACCTCAGTAAAGCTGTTTCAAAAAATGAAATAAATATTAAATTCTTTCCAAATTTTGTCTTGTTTTCCAGTGTTCCCTGCCTGGCCCACAGCCGGCTGAGAGTCCAGGCGGGCACTCCCAGGCTCGCTGCCAGGGCCACGCCAACCTTCAGAATCCCCACGGCTCGGTGGGTGAGAGGCCACCCACTGACCCCCTGCCCCCGGGCTCCCCGGTACACACCCACAGAGAGACCCCAAAGAACACAAGCTTCTGAGTCTCCCAGTTCCTGGGCATGGTGTTTCTTGAGACTCATTAGCAAGAAATGTCTCCTTTCACTTCAATCAGCTCTTGCTGTGGTAGCTCAGGAGGAGGGAGACCCAGTGCCTGCGTCCCTAAAGGACCAAACAATGACGGGAGTTGTACGCCCAAGTCCCTGGCATGGGAGAGGTGACCAGGGAGGAGCCAGAGCCCTGCTCCTTGGGCCTGAGCAAGCTCTCAGCTCTGCAGTGCCCAGGCAGATGGCTCAGAGTCTGCCTTGCTCTCCCTCTGTTTTTGCCCCACGGCCTGGCCTGCCCTTTCCCCCTCTGCTCTCTCTGCTCTGTTCCCTCAGCTCTTCCTCCTGCATTGGTTCAGACACCCCAAAGCCAGGGGGATCTGGCTGGAGCAAGGCTGCCTACAGGTAGGCAGCTTCTATCGACAGCTAGGCCCTTTAGTGGGGCCCCTGAGTGACCCGTGCAGCCCTGGCCTCCCGGCCCATCTCCTTTCCCCTGCTCCACAGCTCCTTCTCAAGGAGGATGGGGTGGGGAGGTTGGTCCTGGACTGGTGTGCTGACCATATGATCAGAACCCCAAATTAGAAGTATGAGTAGCCCAGCAGGGACAATTAGCCTGGCTCTTTGGCTTTAGGACTGTCCCAGAGAGTCTAGACTATCTCGAGGGGTGGAGGGTGAGCGCGGTTGAGTGATGTAAGGTCGTGCTGACCACTTTTCGTCATCCCATCGTCCCAGAGATCCCCAGGGTCTAAGCCTTCCTTCCCGAGGGGCCACAGTGCCCAGCCAGCCCCTCCCTGGTGTTTTTTATGCCTGGACCATCTTCTCCTCTGTCTGCCCTCTCACCGGACAGCCTCGGGTCGCCCCTAGAGAAGCAACTCCTTACCAGTTCCTGCACACCTGGACGGCTTCCTCCATGGCCTCGTCTCCGGAGTCTTCCTGTTGAGTTTCGTTTCTTGCAGAAACAAAACTGAAAGTGTTCCAGCAGCCCTGCCCACAGCTCCAGGCAGGGATGGGGTTTTCAGAACTCTCAGCCAAGGGCTGCCCCACGGTTCCTGTGGCTGACCTGCCTGCGCAGGAAGCCCCTCTGTGGCCTGGCCAGCCCAGCCGGCCCCTGCTGCCTCCCTTGGCCCACAGCTGCTGTCACAGGCTGTTCCTATAGCCCCGAGGGTGGGAGCCCCTCCCCTCCCCTCGTGGGAGCCCCTCCCGTCCCCCAGGCCGGCTTCACTGCTTGGGGCCTCTTCGTGCCCTTCCATAGTGACCGTCCCCTCTGGTGCTCCTGTCACTGGTCCTCCCTCTGCAGGAGAGAGCGCGCTCGCAGTGCTGAACTCAAAGGTTCACCTGAGAGCAGTTCCTGGATTTCCTGCACCCTGCTCCGGGCGGGAACAACTTTGCAAACAGGGTTCGGAAGGGGTTGGAGATGCAGGATGTTGTGCTCCAAGATGCAGCTTGGTGACTGAGGACAACAGCCCGTTTCCCTGAGTCCCTTTCCTTACTTGTGAATAATTATAGCAAACACAACTATCACTCTGACAAGGTGAGAGCCAGTGAGGAAGGTTCTATCGCTGTCATGCCTGTCTTCAGGCTAAGAGACCGGAGCACTGGTGGGTGATGTCACTTGGGTGTCACAGTCAGTAGGCAGCAGAATGAGGCCTGTCTGGATCCTGATAGTGTCATTAACTGATAGCTTGGGTCACCTTAGCCTTTGGGCTTTTGTTTCCTCCTCTGTGGGACTCAGGTGGGGACCTGGAGGATTTTAGGAGACCAGGTGCTCCCAAAAACTGTGTGCAAAATTGCTTCCATGTCAGTGTGTACCTATTCCCAAGGAACCAATGTTTTTAGCAGACACTCCAAAGGAGTCCATGACCCAGACAGTTACGAGTGACTGGACTCATTGACTCACAGGTCTGAGAGTGAAAGAAATCAGGGTTTGTTAAGAGCAGCGCCTGTCCCAAGGTAGACATGCATCACTGAGTCTGGTGAACACGGAACATCGGTTCTGTGTCCCTGGGTTCTGTTCACGGGGAGAAGAAAAGTGCAACCTGCTGGATAACTGAAAATGATAAGACTCTGTATCTCACTGCTCAGGGAGTTGAAAAATTCACAAAGAACTGAGGCTTCATTAGAAACATTTGGACATTACAAACTTCAGGTTGGAATTTTTAGAAAGGGTTTAATGTATATTTCTGTTTCCCAGAATTTTATTCACAAAAAGTCAAGCTCATCTTTAGTTACCTTCAACATTCATTTTTATTGCTTATAAGCACAATGAAGAGGTTAATATGCAACCCTGACCGGTGCGGGTCAGTGGATTGAGTGCCAGCCTGTGAACCAAAGGGTCACTGGTTTGATTCTTCGTCAAGGCACACGCCTAGGCACCGCCCAGGTCAAGATTTTATTTGTTTTTAGAGAGAGGGAGAGGGAAGAAGAAAAAGACGGAGAGAAATATTGTTGTGTGGCTGATGCTCACGTGCAACCCAGGCCTGTGTCCTGACTCAGAGATGAACCAGCAACGCTTTGGTTCGCAGGCCAGCACTCAATCCACTGAGCCACACCAGCCGGAGCTAAATAAATAAAATCTTAAAAAAAAAAAAAGAAACCAGTTTCTTGAAACCGATCCACATAATTTTAAGAAAAGATGTTAATGTGCAGTTAGAGAATTTTGATTGTGGTTTTGCCCATTTGTCTAAGCATTTTCATTTATTTTAACTTTAGCAAGCACACCATGTACATAACTTTACAACAGCTGATAAATCCATAGCAGCTTTTCACTAATACACCAAGCCACCCCTCCTGGTGTTTGGAATGTCAGAAATCAATCACAGATTGCTAAGAAGGGTGGGTGATGCTTCAAGTGCTTAACATGGGGTCTGGCCATTATCAGGACTCTGAGTGTTGGGGGTGGGAAGGCAGCAGCTTCCAAACTTGTCCACAGTTGGAATTGCTTAGGGAACTTCCAGAAAAACCACCGATGTCTGCCCAACCCCAGAGAGTGTGATTTCACTGGTCCAGCTTGTGGCTGGGGCTTTGGAGTTTTCGAAAGGTCCCAGGTGATTCTAGCATGCAGAGAAGGTGGGAGCCACTGGGTAGGAGGAGAAGGCTGGTTCCGAGTTCCAGGCCGGCACTGAGACTCAAGCCTCGGCCCTCGGCCCTTAGATTTCCCACCTGAAGAATAAGAGAATTGGGAAGATGAGCTTCACTGAAGGCTCCAGAAGTGCAGTTGTGCAGTGTGGGGACAGACACTTGGTGCTCATAGAAGAAAGATTGGGACTGGACTGCTGCACAGGGGGACCAGTGGGTAGAAGTCCCAGGATGGCCTGTGCTTCCTCTTCACCACTGCCCTGTCCCTGGATGGACTGGTAAAGGATGCAGGGGCCTGGCCCCAGGAGTGGGGCTGGGAGGGTCTAGGATTCACTAAGCCCCCAGCTCTCTTATCCTCCTGTGGGTGAGCTCACAAGAAAGCCCATCCAAGCCAAGGTGCTTCGGGGCCAGCCCAGGGTAGCACCCAGGATGTGGGAACAGGATGTGGAGGCTACTTGTGTACGCTCCCCCAACTCTGCCTGCTCAGTAGACCCACTGTGGCGTGCATCCACCCACTCCCCACCCTGGGGTCCTCAGAACTTGCCCAGACCCCAGACACAGCTGTGCTAACAGCAGGATTCCAAACCTCGTGTCCGGCGATGGTGCTAGCAGGCCGAGGGGGTTCTTGTAAGTCTACACAGCTGATGGGAGCAGCTTTCCTGAGGAAGATAACAGGATTAAGGAAAAGGCTTGGACAAGACCTCCAGCCACCTGCCAGACCCTAAAATTCATTCAGGTGCTGAATGAAAGATAGTGTGCGGTAATAATAATAATGATCAAGCGATAGGAGGTAAGAGTGAATGGATGCCGAAATGTTTTCTGTATTCCAGGCATTATACTAATAATTTTACAGGTATTTTTTAAATCTTCCCAACAGCTTTGGTATAACAACTATTAACCTCATTTGTACCTATAGAAACGAAGGCACAGAGAGGTTCAGTACTTTGCTCAAGGTCACACAGCGAATGTGAGAGCTGAGATTCAAACCAGGGTAATGTGACTCAGGGGTCTATGTACCTAAGCAAGACACAACCCACTGCTTTGACAGTGGGTGGCGGGGGAGATTGGGTGAGCCCCCAGATTTCTTCCTCATCAGTGGATCAGTGGGGCAAATCCCTTGACCTTTGCTTCCTACTCCTGTCTGCCTCTAGGCAGTCTTGTGAATCTCAGCAATAATGAAAAAACTGCATTCACACTTGTTGTTCCCACCTGAGACACCCCACCCCAAATGCAGGGGCGGGCAGAGATGTAGAGGGCTGCCAGGGTGAGACAGTGGGAGGACAGGACTGGAAAGGACCATAAGTTTTTCATCTACCTCTTTTTTAAAAAATATATTTTCTTGATTATGCCCTTATAATTGTCCCATTTCCCCCCTTCATTCTCCTCCACCCTGTACACCCCCTCCCACCCACATTCCCCCTCTTTAGTTCATGTGTCATAAGTTCTTTAGCTTCTACATTTCCCACACTACTCTTGCCCTCCCCCTATTTTCTCCCCACCGTCTATGCTACTTATTCTCTGTACCTTCTTCCCCCTTCTCCTCCTCCCACTCCGCTGTTACTAACCCTCCATGTGATCTCCATTTCTGTGGCTCCGCTCCTGATCTAGCTGTCCTCTCAGTTTGCTTTTGTTTTAGGTGTGGTTGTTAATAACTGTGAGTTTGCTGTCCTTTCACTCTTCATATTTTTTCTCTTCTTTTTCTTAGATAAGTCCCTTTAATATTTCATATAGTAAGGGCTTGGTGATGATGAACTCCTTTAACTTGACCTTATCTGAGAAGCACTTTATCTGCCCTTCCATTCTAAATGAAAGCTTTGCTGGATAGAGCAATCTTGGATGGAGTTCCTTGCATTTCATGACTTGGAATACTTCTTTCCAGCCTCTTCTTGCCTATAAAGTCTCTTCTGAGAAATCAGCTGACAGTCTGATGGGAACTCCTTTGTAGGTGACTGTCCCCTTATCTCTTGCTGCTTCTAGGATTCTTTCCTTCATTTTAATCTTGGGGAATGTAATTATGATGTGCCTTGGTGTGTTCCTCTTTGGGTCCACCTTCTTTGGGCTTCCTTGGGCTTCTTTTGGGCTTCTCTGAGCTTCCTGGACTTCCTGGAAGTCTCTTTTCTTTGCCAGATTGGGGAAGTTCTCCTTTATTATTTGTTCAAATAAGTTTTCCACCTGTTGCTCTCCCTCTTCCCCTTCTGGTACCCCTATAATTCAGATGTTAGAATGTTTAAAGTTGTCCTGGAGGTTCCTAAGCCTCTCATTTTTTTGAATTCTTGTTTCTTCATTCTTTTCTGTTTGGTCATTTTTTTTTTCTTCCTTCTGGTCCACTCCCTTGATTTGAGTCCCAGTTTTCTTCCCATCACTATTGGATCCCTATGCATTTTCCTTCATTTCACTCAGCGTAGCCTTCATTTTTTCATCTAATTTTCCACCAAAATCAACCAATTCTGTGAGCATCCTGATCACCAGTGTTTTGAACTGCGCATCTGACAGGTTGGCTATCTCTTGGTTACTTAAAAGTACTGGCTCTGGGGCTTTGATTTGTTCTTCTGATTGAGCCATTTTTGGTCAGGTCATGCCCGTTACACATGAGTGGCGGAGCCTTAGGTGTTCACCAGGGCAAGGCCACCCACGTCACTGGGTTGTGACCCTGTATGTGGGGGCGGGGTCAGAGAGAGCAATGGCGCTTGGTCCTCTCTCGGTATTTCAGTCCCCTCTGCAGCTTCCCACAAGCTGGCACCTTTTCAGTGGTGCTTTCAGGCTTGATTTCTTGTCACTGGGGCCCCAGGTTTCATGGTCTGTGTTGCTCCCCGTTTTTGCCTCATTTATCTGCACACAAATGTGTGACCGCAGTTAGCCCTGCGCCTCCTGCACTCCTGGGTCTGGCTGCCCCACCTTTTCCTGCTGCAGCCCCTCTTTGCCAGCCGCTGACTCCATCCCTCTTACCAGTCTGGTTAAATGGTTGTCGGACTTCCATATAGTTCAATTTTCTGTCTGTTCTGGTTGTGTTTTTGTTTCTTAATCTTTGTT